GAACTGATAAATTATCAGTATATATTGAATTAGGTCCATAAATTAAATGGGAAAAATTGAGACCTAGATTCAAAAATGGCTGCCCGCATCCACTCCCACAATTCCATTGTGACACGGACATAATGTTCTCAGCTACCGTTGCTAGCCTTCTCAACTTCTCTATTGGCTCCTTTCAGAAAACTTTTTATTTTCGACTCCTTCACAGATATTACAAAGCCTGGAGATTTCCCAAATTTCATGTATAAATTTTAATTTAATTCTAACTAGAACAAAAAAAAATTGTAGATTCTCACGAGTACGTATGCTATGAGAGTGGAAATTACCTGGAAAATAACACTCCTTCAACCACGCCTATGTCCACTTTCTCAACTTTCCAATTGAAAGTTAAGCAGAAGAATTTGGAACAGGTGATCAATGCCATCAAACAGAACACATCCTAGAGTCCTGTCCATCACTCAATCAATCCGTAATAAACCATTAATGGGTTCGATTCTATTATCGTTCCGAGCGTATTCCATTTAGGGAATAACTGTATACAATACATTCGAAATTGATTCATTAGTATTGCGAACAATAAAAAAAAAAAAAAAGGAAAAATGATAATAAACAGAAAGGTCATAATAATACCTAATTGTCGGTTTAGGAAAGATTTTAGATATAATAAAAAAATTAATATACGATTGGAATGATGATCGCTTGGAATGATCTCTTCACGAGTAAGGAGTAAAAAAAAAAGTACTTGGAGATTGTACTTGTTTTATTCCTAGGATAAGATTAAACACGTCTGGATGGAAGAAAATCATCTTAGCAATGTTATCTCAAGAAATGGATAAAGAGGGAAAGAAGGGCGCTCCTCAAGAAGATGAAAGCTGGCGGCAATGCGGCCAATTTCACCGCACCTCCCAATCGAAAGTCAGTCGCTCCCGACCGACTCTCGCTAAACTCCAAACACCATATTTTTAAATGGAATGGCGGCTCCAGATGGAATGGCGTTGATATCCTACCGCGCCCACTATATAAAAATAGAAAATTTGAATTTTTGTGATAGTCAATATCAAAAAGCAAAACCTCAAAAAGAAACATAAACTGTTAAGATATAATTGGAAGATTCAAATAACTATTCTTTTCTAGTGTTGCCAAAATGCGAGACCGAGACGAGTCTTTTTCTTGCAAACTCTGTCTTGATCATGGTCTTGGTCTTGCAAAAGTATCGCAACAGTCTTGCAGTTATTTATTACTGTAGAGATATTACTGTAATTTTTTGGACAGGAGAAACCTAACTAAGCCTGAATGAAAAATTAGAGGAGTTAAATGCAAAAGTATATTAGCTGTACCAATTATTAACATATAGTAACTAAGATTGTCAAGTATTAGTAACTATTTTGCCTTAATTTTTATTCAAAAAATCTATTTTTTTTTATCAGTGCTGGTCTTGGTCTTGCAACAGTTAGGCGGCCTTGGTCTTGGCCTTGTAAAGTGCAAGACCAAGACCGATTTTGGGCAGCACTGCTAAATAGAGGAGGGAAATTCCTGCTGTGTTGAATTCTTACTAATCATTGATTCATTGCTTCAAAGAAACTTTCTAAGAAACAAGACCAAGACCGATTTTGGACAACACTAGTCTTTTCTATAATGCAGTTTAACAAACTAATCCTAAAATATATCCAGACGGACTATACATTTCTCATCCAACAATACACAGTAACTCGACATTGAATCACTTACATGCATGTTATTATGCTCCATATTTAGCTTAGTATAACACTATATTAAAACGTCTGGAAAAATCTAAAGATGCCGGGTGTCTGTGTATTGGCCTAGAAAAGGCACGTGAATCGGTTTCAAGAAAGAGGTTGTGGGAAGCCCTAACGGAAGCAAGAATATCAGAGTCCATAATAAATACCATAAAATAAATTTATCACAATAATACCCACAGGTGGATTTACGGAGGGGGGCTTTCGGGCTGAAGCCCCCCCCAAAAAAATGGTAAAATATAACAATGTTTTACAGAAAAAAATATTAAAAACTATCTCTTAAAGTATTCTTGTTAGTGTAATTACATTTAATAGGACTTCAAGAACCACTTAAACACCATTTCATATAGGTAGTTATTTTCTTTCATTTTTTAAAATTTAATTATTGTTATATGTATATGAAAAAAAATCTTTCGGGCTGAAGCCCCCCCCCCCCAAAGTTAAATCCTGGATCCACTAGTGATAATACCTGTTGAGTTAAATTAGACTCAAGTATTTCTGAAACATTCCAGATTTCGGAAGGGCTTCTGCCTCTCACCAACTCTTTTCAAAATTTATGTGGATGTCGCTCTCATTGAATTGAGAAGAAAATGGTAAAAAGAATTAGGGAAGATGTATACAACACAAATTTAATGTTTGCTGATGATGAAGTAGTTCTAGCCCAAGATAGAGAGGTCATAAACTACATGTTTATAAAAGTGATATAATCATATGAAAAGTGGGGGTTTAAGAATTAATTTTAAAAAGACAGAGCACCTCGGCACAAATAAATAATACGCCGATTGAAAATGGTGTTCAAATACCTGGAGTCGGTATTCAATAGTGAAGTAACCTCCGCCAGTGATATAGAACGGAGACACGGAGACACGGAGAAGGAAGAAAAGTATCCTTTGCCCTAATACAAAAAAGGCTTATGTACAAATCTATATTCGCGTTATATGCCTCGGAGATGAGGGTCCTCAATGCCAGATACCGAAAAATATCGCTAGCGGTGAAAATGGACTTTTGTAGAAGAGCTGCTAGATAGAAAATCCAGAATGGAAAGAATTAAATATTAATGAATTCTGGAGCTGGTGGAAGGGACAAGGAAAATTTTAGCAGAAATTGAAGAAAAAAGATTTAGGTGGTTTGGACGTGTTAAAGGAATGCCTGCAAAAAGCAAACAAAAAAATCAAAAAGGAAGACCATAGGTAAAATGGAAATATGAGGTGTAAGAAAACCTTATGAATATACCTTAAAACTAAAATTTAGTTTTAGTTATATTATTTTTATTTATTGTACATAGAGTGTGTATGTGCTCATTGGACACTATTACAAATCTCCTTAATTGAGACAGATAGTAATATTTCTTAATAAACAAGTTATAAAAAAAAAATACTTAAAAGGGCTATCACTGAAATTTTTGCGCATAAGATCCTTCAAATTAATTTTGAGTTTAATCATCAGTGCGTAATTTTTGTGTCCCCAACAGCTACTTACCACTACATGACGTATGAAACTTGGGCACTTTCAGGATAAGCACCTTCTGGCTGGCCCCTTTGGGTTTGGGAAAGTTTTCTCACTTAGTGCTCTGTCGGTTTCTGATTGGTGGATAACCAATAAATCCCAAACGAAGTTCAAATAAACCAGTGGGTACAGATGACCTGATTATTTTACGTCCTACCAAACTCCAAATAAACAAACAAATTTCTTGCAGTCCGCTCCTTAAATGTAAATCAGGACTTGGGCAGTATTTCAAATAAAGTATTTTAGAATACAAAACAAAATACATTATTTATATTTTACGTTTTAAAAAGTAAATTACAAAATAGATTATTTTTAACTGTATTTTCTTTTTAAAATACAAAATACGAAAGAAAAGTATTTATATTTTATTTCCAAGATATTTTTTTTTAACCTTGTGTATTTATAAATATTACATTCTGTCTAAATTTAGGACAATTATAATATATATTAGAGTCCAAGATACTAAAATACAAAAAGTTTATTTTATTTTTTATTTTAAATACAAAAAAAAAAAAATCACCAAGTACAATTGTTTCCCAGTACTCAGTCCTATAAAAGAAGTCCTCATGCGGCTGATAATCCGACATACCAGACTGACACCCCTTTACCTCATAACAAAAGATCTTATCCCTAGATTTCTTAAGAGTGGCCAGACATTAACTATGAAGCATGTTTTGGAAGATTATCCTTTTTTACACCGCAAGGTTAAAAGATCTTGGAATACCACAGAATGTATCAGCATCTCTGGGAAACCAGGAAGAAATCATTACTAAACTTATGAAGTTCCTACACAATGAAACTCTCATAAAACATATATGACAAGTTTATAAATAATGATCCTTTGCAGATTTATTTATTTTTCTTTTATTTATTTATTTTATTTTATTTTATTTTTTTGTACCAACCACTAAACAGTATAAAAGTTGTGTTATTTAGTTGATCGAGCGCTGATGACCTGAATGTTTTCGCCTAGATATCCAAAACAAACAGTTTCCCTGTATGATATGCTGATCGTCCATCAGAAAGTATATTGTATTTGTATTTTGTTTTTTGTGTAATTAAAATACAAAATACTTTTACTATTTTTTATTTGAAATAAACTTTCTGAAAGCAATTTAAATACTTTGTAATTAAAACATTGTATTTTAAAATCTCAAAATACATGATATTTTAAATACTGTATTTTAAAATCTCAAAATACATTACATTTTAAATATTGTATTTAAAATACATTATGTTTTGAATACTGTATTTTAAAATTGTTTTTAAAATACATTATGCTTTAAATACTGTATTTTAAAATTATATTTAAAATACATCATGTTTTAAATAATGTATTTTAAAATGATATTTAAAATACATTTTTCCTATGTCAATTTATGTAGGTATGTCCGAAGACTCAGTGGGGTTAGATTCAGCACAGAAAGCTTGGATAAAATATAGATGTGCTTAATTTTACCTTACATTAGTAATAGAAGAGGCACTGGACTCAGACCACCCTGGGTCTTGTTCAAAACGAATCTTAATAATATGTAAAATTTATTTTCTGATAATCTGGAGCCCTTTATTACGTTGGGGCAAACCTGGGTGTTGAGCGTTGATGTAGACCACATCACCTCGTAAAATCCGTTTGTCAAGAAACAGCTCCCACCAATTACTCAATATAATAACCTACTTGGGTGGTCCTGGTACAGATTTATTGCATGATACAATATTAATAACATTATTGTCTTGTTTCAGGGCTACTACCAACCGGAAGCTGAGGGAAACAGTTGCTTTAGAGTTGAGCTTCGTTAATTCGAACTTACAACTTCTGAAGGAACAGTTGGCCGAATTGAACAGTTCTGTCGAACTCTACCAAGGAGAGAGGTAAGTTATAATTTTAAAATCCTAATATTTGTCTTCTGCCTTGCTTATCTAGTTGTTAATGCATAAAGTTTTAATATGGATAAAAATGTTGGATTACAAAGAAATATTTCTTCCTTGGATATTTTACGAAAGACCTTCTTAAGTTTCCTGTAACCATCTGACAGGAGGTACCATTTCGCATAAGACTTGCATCTTCTCATGAGCAACAATTAAGTCAGTGCTCACATAATCTATAAATTTTGATTTGATTTAAAAAAATACAAATTTCTCTTTTATATATTTTTTTCAAAAATGTTGAGTTTCCAAATTTATTTGAAGTAACGTTTGAATGGAATGATAAGGTTCATGTTCCGTTTGATTCGTGATGTTCCTATTATGTGAGTCATTCAAACGATATCACGGCCGAATTAGAAGCTTTAGACTAGAAGTAACAGGTGCGCCCTTCATCCCCAAGGGCGATGGCTCATAACCCATAGGGGTTAACAACAAGGCAACCAAATCGATGAGATAAGGCGTCGCACGTTGGGAGACGTCGGTATATTATAATTTTAAAAAAATTGCAATAATTTAAGTTATCGAAAAATCGCCCTAAAAAAAAATCTAGTGGGGTGCGCGCATCACACAACTTACACTTACCACCCTATTAGCAGAAATAAGTATTTTCAGGCAAAGCGAAGTGAAAGTAAAAATTATAGCCTCTATATTTATTTATATTTCATTGTGGGTATTTTTATTTGTATAAGTACCCTCATATATACAAATTTTAATATTTATATCGCTGTAATCTATACAATTAAATATTAAATAATATCAACAATAGCATTTATGAAAACCACATATGTATATTCATATAATATTGTCGGAGTCCGTATTATATTAATCTCATGATACGTATGGAAGCGTGTTCTAATCTTTCGGGCGAGCTTGGGTGCGCTCGTATTCCTTTGGTTCCTCAATTACAACTATTCTCCGTTACGATCTCTTATTTCTCCTTTAGTTATTTATTAAATTCTTTCATATTTTATATTTAACCATTTTTCATATTAGAAATTAATGTGAAATGGTCAATTTTTTCAAATAAAAAAAATTAAAGGTACTTTAGAGGAAGCTAATATTGAAAATTAGTCATTTAAGCCCTGTTAGAGAACATCAAACACATTTTATTTAAAAATGCTTAATTTTACACTGATTTGACGAATTTAATCAAAATCGTTAGAGCGGTTTTCGAGATAATTATAAAAATGCGTTTAGTGCATTATATAAAGTGACACTTCCGGGTAGCCGATTTTGACGAAAAAGTTGCTGTAACATCCCTCGCAACAAGATCGATCGCAACTATCGCAATACTTACCCTTACTGTATATTACATACATAGGTAAGTGAAAGTAAAAATAATAATAAATCAATAAACTCAGTATTATTCCAAACCTTTTTCATCTTTCATTTTACCATTTCCACTTCCCCTTGCAGAGATGGACAAATGCTACTCTTAGTACTAAGATTAAGTTCTTTGGTACTTTTTAGAGTACCAAAGAATTTAAGTACTATTTCAATTGATATCAAACGATTAGCTGAAGTAGTTATTGAATTCCCAATAGTGATTCGATTTGAGTAAAATACTTGCTACTCAGTACTCAGAGAAACATTTCCCCATCTCTGTCCCCTTATTCATACAACGCTATGTTGTCTGTTTAAATTATTTTAAAAAAATATTTGAAAAGTGCAATGGTTCATCGTGCCTAAGCAATTACAGTTTGTTTTTTTTTATGTATTGAAAATATACTTGAGACCGAATGTTAAATTTAGAAAAGATATTGAGGAATTTTCGAAGATTAAGACTGAATAAGGTTGGGTACAGTACAAATTTCATATTGAAAAAAAAAATCATATTTTTTTTGTAATTGATGTTAGTATTTGGTATTGATTACTTAGTTTTAGTATCTTTGGTTTAAATACCTCAAATTTGGTAAGAAAAAATGCTTATAAATCGGGAAGGGGCTTCTTTTGTATGTTGGCTTCAGTGCTTATTCTACCTTAGTTATGAATACCGTATCAAAATCCTCGAAAATCTAATAAGCGATCCTTAGAAGAAGCATTCAATTTTAATAGCATAGGTATATTAAACGAGGAGCATAGGCGCATACTTTCCATTTTAATTGGGGAGGGGGGGATTAAAAGAAAAAAATGACAGAATAAAAATGAGTTAATGCCATGTGTAAAAATCCAGCATGATAATTGTGGAACGACCAAGACAATTTATTTATTTATATGCTTGTACATTTGTATTTTTTTTTAATATCTTAAAACATAAGGGGAGACCTGCAAATAAAAGCACATTTCTAGAAATTATTCATGTAAAAATTAATAATGAATAATACTGAAAAAAAAATTTCAATTTCTTAGTTTGTACAAACTCAAAATAAAAATATAACATTTCCACATTCTGATTAGTTACGTATAAATATTTATAAAAACATTTACTATAAAATATATTCATACTAATATTTATTAAATATATTTTTTCAACTTCTCCGGAGAAAATTGTGATAAGAATTTCACTTGAAAATGAGAGCTACACTTGAGGTGTGAACTAATCTTAAAATCCTTCGATATATCGCTACATATTATTATTAATATAATAATAATTTGCTACATTTTATTATGATATAAATTTACATAACATTTAGGTCGTGATAAAATAGTACCTACATCTATGCTTTAGCCTAACCAGCTGATCGACTTTTCTTATTTTTAATCGGTTTTAGTTAACATATTTTATTCATTGATACTTATTTCTTGTTAATTTTAATTTTTTTACCTTAAATTATTGGGGGGGAGGCGAAACTAGATTCGCCCCTCCCTGCTATCCGAAGTCTGCTCCTATCGCGATGAGCGAACAGTGAACAAAATTTAAAACTCTCGAATAGCTTTTAACGATCTCTTCTTCGTAGTTGGCTGTATAATACTCCTATAGATTTGAATAACATAAGTAATTTAACTACCAGTTATGGAATAAGTAGTAACAAATTTAAAAAAAAAATGAACATTTGAATAAAATTTAAGACAACAGAATCTAGATTAGATTGAATCACTTAGACTAGTCGAGCTGTATTGTATAAATAGTTGCTCATTTGTCTATAGCACACTTACAATTCATTGGGTGTATCAAATAATACTCTTATACTAATGTTGTATCTGAAATCCTGTATAATTATTTATATTTTACAGTTTTGTAAACATTTTTTTTTAAATTTGTGATGAAATGTAAATGGAGGTATGAAAGGAAGGAAAGGATAAAATAGAAGTGAACGCCCTCCAACCTGCCTGCCTCCGGCCAATAACAAAATTCGTCATCACATTTAATAAATATTCATTATAATAATATAAATATATAATTCTTCACTAAATAACTAATTTATCTCTTTAGCAAGTATTAATATTACAGTATTTATGACTCCATTATTTGTAAGACTACAAAAAATTTCTATAAAAACTAACAGAAATTAAGTGGATATTGATTCTGAAATGTAATATTCCTTTTTATAATAAATAATTGAAGTTTTTTTTTTTTTTTTATTTCTTAATGATATTTACAACTGTATTAAAGAAATACACTTAGTAAATTTGAACATATGGATATAATTACGTGACAAAATTTGTTGAGGAACTACCCAATGATAGCACTCTAATGATATGTCTACATTAGGCGATCACGGGGCGATCTTTTCAGGCGCCTCGGAGGGTTATCAGGAATTTAAGAGGAAGCAAGGTTAGAAACGAGAGGGTTGGGATGATTCTGAAGTTTATTATGGAAGGATTGGGCCAGATCTGAAACATAAGAAACATTAAAGTCATTATGGATGGTTTTAGTTGCAACAAAGTAGAGTGCATTGAGGATTTTACGAAGCCCCATAGCTCAACTCAGTAAGTCCAAACAGGCCTTATTATAGTCATGTATATGAGTCTTTTACAATTAATTGGAAGTTTAGAGCGTTTGTCTAGTAAATGCTGAAGTAATCAGAAACGTCGAGCGGTCTCTTGTCGTTTCAGTCTGGTATGAGGATTCCGAGATAGACGTTTGTCCAGGTGGAGCCCTAGGTAGCGGATTTGTTCAACAGGGATAAGTTGAAGGAAACTATAGAACAGGAAGTCATAGATTTACGACGAAGGGTAAAGGTAATTTGTTGGGATTTATTTTAATTCTCTAGTTTTGACACCTTTCTTCAAGGTTTATGATGTGTGATTGAAGCATTTGAGATGCAATTGATGGGTCATTATTCACTGATATTATACATGTGTCATCGGCATACGTGGCGATTACAGTGTTGGGATAGGTTGGGATGTCAGCTATGTAAACTGTACAAAGGATAGGACCTAGGATACTACCTTGAGGAACACCAGCGGACTGGTAATAGAGGGATTATTGTGGGGGGTTATTGTGATTTACTTTTAAAGTATTTATCAGTAAGGTAGGAAAAGATAATGAGGAAGTATGTAGGTGTTAGGAATTTTCGGAGTTTGTACAGCAGTCCTGGGTGCCAAACTCTATCAATTGAAGTAATTGAAGTTTAAATAGTATTTTAAAAAAGTCTCTTATTATAATTATCCTGATGAATGGAAATAGAAATAAAAATCTGGAATCAATTATACATAAGTAAAGTTAATCTTTTAGATGTCTTTATTACCTAAATGGTTTATTTGTTTTAGTCCTGCAGTCTTACCAGGGTGCCATTGCCAATTAAGGTTTAGAGGGGCATAATGTGACGGGGTTTTGAATTTTTGAGGGGGCAAATTTTAACAGGTTTACACATTTTTGGATGGAACCAAGTGGGTGCAACATTCAAACAATGGAATAAGGGATGTCATGGAACAGACCATATGAAATGTAATATTATATGATCTACAGTTTTCCCACTATCGCCTGCACCGTTATAAGAATAAGAGAACAATAAAATTTCTTATGATGATAGGGAGAAGTTAATTATCTGGTAGCCATACCA